AATGTCAAAATATATGCATGAAAAGCATGCTACCATATGCTGTTTTAAGTGCCGTGCCTTTGTCTTGCATATAAAATAAAAAACAATTGAAGGTTAAATACTTAGAAACTTACCCAATTCGTTCTTAAACAGATTATAAACAAATAGGTGCATATTCTGAACCAACTTAGATGACAGTTGCAGCTTTTCTCTTTCATATGATCATATTGCCAGTAACATTGAAAAATCAAGGCATTAACTCTAGAACTCTCAGGCTTAAAAACATATTGATACCATGACCTAAAAGTTCCAGTGTTAATGGAATGTTTTTTTTCCTCCGCCATGCTTCAAATGCTAACCTGGGATACTATGAAAACAGCAGTAAGAATAATCAAATGAGCAATTACATTTGTCTGTCAGACCCACTTTGTGGTTTCACAGCCACATAAAATTCTTAATTAATTACTAAAATAATAGATGAAGAAGCGAGTTTCAGAGGTCTCAATGGATCCGATCATAAGGAAATAGCCAGTCTCAAGTTTACTCCTTTCCACAGCTAAGTTAATTAAATAGCTTGTTTTGACAGCTTAATCAACTTTGGTTTCACAAACACCAGAGCATCACTGTAAACAATATGTGGGTGTAACAGTACAGACACAAACTTTTTTAGTTAAGGACTAAACACATTATGTCACACAAAATGAAATGAACATAATTACAAAATGAAGAACAAAGCACAGCGTCAAATTTTAGTTTTCTAAATGATTTTCACAACATTTGTTGTTCAATGCATCATAGTTTAAAGTAGTTTTGTGTCTGTGTATTAATGTATATACAGTATATCCATCAATTTTCCAATTGCTTTATTCAATACAGGGTTGTGGGAAAGCTGAAGCCTATCCCAACAATCAACAGGCACGAGGCAGAATACCAGGACTGAATGCCAGGATGCCAGTCCATCGCAGAGCACACACATATACTGTACAAACACACACGGTAGAGCCACTTAACCTACTAGTGTCTTTGGACTAGGAGGAAACCTGGAGCACCAGGAAGAAACTCATGTGAACATGGGGAGAACATACAAACTCAATGCAGATAGAACCCCAGGAACTCATCCTAGATGCCCAGTGCTGCAAGACACAAATGCTAACTACCGTGCCACCTTGATGCCCAATGTATATACAAGAACAGAAAAATATATGTAATAAAAACCTTAAATACTCAACAATTTAGAGGACGGTGCATTATCTTCTAATTAAAAAAAAATTAATCAAGGCTTTTGCAGTGAACAACAAAGTGGCTGACAAATTCTTTTCAGATAAAATCTGCATTGTTCTGGAAAAAAAGTAATAATGGTAGTTCAGAAATTATATTGGATTTGATCTTACTGGCCCTTTGTTTGCAATACTTGCTGTGGGATTTGCTAAACACCCACATCCAGATAGTGAATGAATCCTAATTGATTATAAAAATGGTCACAAGGATATAAGTTAGCAATTTGCTCACATGCAAAGCAGTAAGCACTGTCTGTGTATATATATAAATGAGTAATATAAAAATGTGGTCTTAAAAAATAAAATTTCCTACCACATTAATATCCTACAGTGAGCTCTCTATTAAAAAAATAATACAGACACCGCCCAGCAGTACTGACAGGAAAAAGACAGCTGCAGTGTTTTTTTCTATATTAACTTTATATTCAAACTGGAACTTCCTTGAACAAATGTAGACCCTAACTGTAATATTTCTGTTCCATGGGATAGTGTAATATATAAACTAATGAAAAATGTTACAGGAATTCTGCAGCTTCATTTACATACACTAATAAAACTGTGGAAAATTAATCTGCAATAGTAAAGCTATTTGCTCAACCTTTTTCCGTGCATACCTAACAAACCACTTAAAGATGTTAGATAAAATAATAAAAAATTTAATATTAACAGTTGTTTCATTCAGTCTTTTTCACTTGTGGATGAGGTCAGCTTTAACACTGCATGTTTACAGGAGAATTTCATTTCTTAACAACCATATTTTAAATAATCTGTCATTTCCAGCATGAAACAGCATAGGTGTCTGGGACAATAAATGATGTCACATATGACATGCCTCAAGGACATGACTGGTTCAAGTCCTAGCTAAGTAGGACACCTTAACGGGAAAACTCTGGGGACACCAGAATCGGCCTAGTGCTTGGGCTTAATGTTTCTCTGTAGAAGAAGACCTGCCTAGCAGCTTGGAAAAATCCTTAGTAGATAACAGAGGATTTTCCAAGTTGAGAGGGAAATCTATAAAGGGCATTCCCAACCCAGCTGAAAATTGGCCAGCTAATATAATTTTACAAACCATAAAAATGTGCCTATTTATTATGAATAAAAAGAGCTTTGTTGTAAGTTTTAATCATGTACAATTTAGATTTTAGATTTGATTTGTTTTATATATAAAAGGCTAATAGTTTAGGATAACATCCATAATGCTGTGTATTTTTGTAACACAAAACATTTAAAACTAAAATAAAGTCAAACAAAAATAAACATGAGCTACAAGAACTATTGTTCAGTTCTGGTGTGTAACCAAGGCATTATCACAGTCACTGTTTAATGAAGCCTCTTTCACTTGGTTCTCCTACACTGCAATTAGCAAGACAATATTGTGCTGTTAGAATGTGGGTAATTTATACAAAAATTGAGTTTGTCTTCCTAGAATCATTACATTGTAAAAGGTGGGTGAGGTTTACACAGAAGCTGACATTTAATTTCCACATGACAACAGCCTTCTTGACAGCCGATTAGATTCATATTGAACATCACAGCAAAACAGTTATCCATTTTAGAGTGCATAATAATTCATTGTTGCCCTTCACCGTACATTAAATGTCACCTCTTCTTGTGACAAGAATATAAAACTGTTTGCAATAAAGTCAGAAGGTAGGTCTAAGTTATTAAAAGAAGCTATTGTACATTTAATTTAAGTAAATGCAATGCTCCAAATACAGACCTTCATACATATGCAACTAATAATTCAGGAAGAATAATTCATTTTTTATCTCTCCGTTTAATCACATTATGACAGTACTAGTGAAAAGAGTAATTAAAGACTGCCACTTTATGTACTTATCACTTTCTAAATTTAGATTACTAAGATTTTTCATATGCATAATTACTTGAGTCTGAATGCACTTTCAACTAGTTTGTTTTGGGGGTATAGTTACTTCAATCGCCTCAAGTCACTTCAATATGCTTTTTTTTATCTTGTACTTATGTTTTGAAAACAAAATAAAAATATTAAACGGATCAGTCTCATATTTACAGTATGTTAAAAAATTTAAAACGCAGATATAAACATCTAACATTTTCTTGTCTGTACCCGTTTCATCTCTAAACAAACCCATAATATCACATTTCTAGCCTCCTTCCTCTAAAAAAGCCACTGGATTTGAACGTCTTTGGCAAAAGAAAAAGAAATAAAAAGCCCTAGTCCATGCAGTAAGGACTTTTGATATTGTGTGTTAGCAGCAGACAATGACAACTTTTGACAAGCTACATATAAATAACCACGAAATTACCATTTCTAAAGGTTCTAGCAAAGAAACATCTGACAATTGCTGCTCCTCAAAATATTGTTATTTCTAGCCCAGGTGCTTTCTGTAGAGATGAGTAAGAAAAGATAGCAAAGGCAATCCGTTATTCACTAATCATGGTCAAACCCAATGATATACATACACACGATGAAGAACACATGGCTTCCCTGTCTGCTATGCAGCAATATTTGAAGCAAGGAGAAGGAAAAAAAATCCTTATAAAAGCATTGGAAGCGTGGCAAGTTACCCCACCTGCAAAGCCTGATGTGATAAACTACTTTCTCAGTGCTATTGTGACTGTTTCTATACACAGTGCCTAATACAACTAATTTAATGCCTCTCTTCAGATGTTTTCTGTTACTCTGCATTATCTCGTCTGGACCACTGTGTGCAGTGAGATGATGTAATGTGTAAAATTCAGTTAACTGCTTCAATTATTCTTTGAGACAGGATTCATCATTTAAATCATGTCAGCCTACACAGAGGGACATTTTGGATGGAGCTCCTTGAGATATTATTTTCTGGCACCCACAGCCTGCTTTACAATATATACAAAAATAAAAGATTTTTCAGCATTTAAATTTCATAAACGTGCACCGGCTAGAACTCTGCCTGCAGTCTTTGGACCATTATACACTATAGACTATTCTTGAAATATACTGTTTGTTAGATTTAGATCTCTACGTGTTAAAAATAAATACAATTTTGCAATGGAAAGATACTGGGTTCTGTATGTTTTTGTAAAATTATTAATCTACATTTTTGATTAATACATTTTTTTGGATTAACACAATTGTTTGATTTGTTTATTAATGATTAAATTTAGAGAAATGTAAAATCATTATTTCAAATCTTACCCAGAATGTCTTTAAAATCGTATTTGCGCTAACATATTTGAACTCTTTTTTATTACTGCTCCTGCATAAAGGAGGTCAACTTTAATGAATGCAAAACAGAGCTATTTGTAACTTAAGGTCTGTCAGATAATTTAAATAAAACCTAAAAGCTGCAAGAAAAGGCTAAAGGAACAAAGCCAGAAGTGTTTCCAATATTTCCTGATGCCAAACTGAATAATTTACAGTGTGCAATAAAATCTAGTGGCAACAGTATGGCTTTTAGCTCAGTTTGCATGTCAAGCAAGGAAGCCCTGATTTATCAGTGTTTAAAATGCAAGAGTGTCTTACATATACTTATATGTGGAATGTGAATTTTTTAAAATGCGAAATATTTCTTGGTTTTTTTCCCCAAGTATACTGTTGTATCAGGTTACAGAATCTTGATATCACTACTGCATGTAGGCCACGTTCTAGCCAGTGCCAATTTACCCTTCTCTTTACTAGAGAGAGATTCAAAACGGTTGTGGGGAAAACCCACAAGAGATAAATGGTCATATGCAATTATTAAACAGTTTCTATAAGAATCACTAAAGCTGACATGTTACCTGGCTATGACAAACAGCACACAACTGACACCCAAGTAAGCCAGCAGAATATACATCCAGATATCAGGGGAGAGTGGATTCAGGAAGGAGAAAACACCAGGGTTTGTACCATTGGGCTTGCGGTACAAAATACTTATTCCCAACGTCATGAAAGGCTTGGAGAAGTCAATGACCTTCTCCCGGACATAGGTGATAGCCAGGGGAGCAACCGCAAGATCAGCTTTCTGTCAACAAAAACATAAAGAGAAGAAAAACAGACCATAAGTCAAGTGTGGAGGATGGGTAGAGGCAATCAAATTAAGAAAACAGGACTTTACACATGAGAAGACCTGTCCTGTAGTAGTTAAGTGGAAATTTAAAGCCTTTTTGTAAAGCACTTGATTTACCAGCTACTGTTTCAGCAGCTCTTTCTGTTATAATACTTTTAATCATGTACAAGCAGCCCCTGCAGCTAAGCACTGTGGGACTGTGAGCACTGGACCAAAAAAGTGCTTCTTATAATAAGATGGATGACTACCAATTCCAAACTAGCATCCTTGATAAAAACCATGACTTATCTCTTCTAAGTTTGATTCACTAGAGATGAAGCATGAGCCATTCTTGCTATTATTAGGCAGCTAGGCTCCCATGGTAGTTGATATAAAGTAGATAAAAATAAAACCTTGCGTTCTCTCTGGAATAATCAGGTGGCCTTAATAAACACACTGTGCTGTTGACATTATTTCATTTTTTGCCTGAATGCTTTAAGGATTTAGAATTAATTAAATCTCAGTTGGTAAAATACAATTTCTACAGCTGCCAAGATTATTTTTATATGTGTATTTTCCAGCATTTATATATATGGGGAATACTATGCACTATGAAAAACAAAAGTAACCATTTCCACTGAAGTATGTTAACAATATTACATTTTGAAGATGGCAGTATGTTAAAGTAAATAAAATAATATTAGCATTTGCACCTTTATTGTTTTTGTTTTATTTAAAATGCATCATAGAGACTGTAACTGAAGTCAACAAGGCTATTTATCCATTTAAATCTGCAACACATTTTACAAATAATTACACTACATAAGTGCTCATTCTATCTTCTACTATAAGTGTGGACACTACCTGTCCATGAATGTAATTTTAATTAAAATTATTTAATAATTAATAAATACGTATATTTATAAATATAAGAATTAGATAATACATATAGAATAGAATAATACATATCTCTAATAATACATATTGTATCTACACAATACCCAAGCCAATGTAAAACCTTATCAGCATACATCAATCCATTTTACTACCTTTAAGATAGTTTCAGTAAAATTCATTAGGCAAGAAAACTAGTATAAAAGGTAATGTTAACGGAAGTTCTAAGGGGACATACTGGATTTTATTGTGTTCTTGCATAAATCAAACAGAATATATAAGATATAGTCAAGAAATTCTTGTAATTACTGTTGATATTTTTCCTGTTTTTATTCCAATCTTTATGATTTTGATAAGGATCTTTGTATTTCTTTTGTTCTCTGACTCCCAGAATCCTGCTGTTTCTCATCACTACATGCTGAGGGTGTAAATGCAATCTCTCCTCCATTTCAACACAAAAGATGAAGTAAGATCACAGTCATTGTTATTTTCATATCAGTGACTGGTTGGGTACCAGAGTATACAATGTGTTATAACAAATCTTTAAGTCAAACATTGATTTCTAAAATTAGAGAAAATAAAAATAACGTGAACACCCAAAATCAAACAATTTTAGTTTAGTCAACAAAAGAACAACAGCAACATTCATTTCATATCATGGTTCATCACTTCCAGTTTAGAAAGAGTTTTATAAGAGATCAACAAACAATGGTGCCCATGCATTGAATGAGCACAAAATACATTAGATGTATATTCAATATTCAAGACTGATTTTCTACACACTTCTGTAATCCACTTTCTATTTTGTAATAATATGCTACAAGCACATTTATAAATTCAAATGCAAATAAAATACGTAGATAATTTCAAATACAATACCTTATAAGCTGGTATATAAAATCAAACTTGTACATAATATAATCCTATATAATATTTTATGCTTTTTAACAATTGTACCACCCTAAAAGCAAAGGCAAACAGCTTAGAATGATTCCCTAACCAGCTGATTTTAACTGTACATGAAATTTCCCCTTGTGAAAAGGACACATGGGCAAATCTTCAAGAATCTGATTTGATGGGGGAAAATGGATCTTGAAAACATTTGCTTAACAAAGGAAGTTATAAAAAAACAATCAATAAATCTAAATTCTCTGTCAAAAGAGAAATGGAGAAAACTATTCCATACACAAATGAAACTGTGCTTGAACCTTTGCGCCCCCAAGGGTAAAACGTATGAGAGAAAACAAAAGGTGAGAGATTGTTAAAAGTGTGTAGTCCCTGCAGAAAAAAACATGTTAACAACATGCTCTGGAGTTGCAGGTGCAAGAATTAAAGTAAAAGTACTGTAACTTGCTTATTTTAACACATCACATCTCTTCAGTGCAGTGCAGTAACTTAATGAACTATTCACTGTCTACGCTCAAAAAATGTTTTGCAAGTATTTTTGATTCACTGCCTCAGAAGATCCCTCAGACATTCTGAAACACCATATGACTTAAGTGTTCACACTAAATTGAGTATGTTCTTTCAGTTTCTTCAGGGAGGCAGCTCTTACATAAAGGGTTCAACATGGTAAATTTGCTAAACAAACAGACAATATTAAGTACTAAATGTAAATTTAGGACTAAATGTAAATTGAGAGAAAAGGATTTCAAATTGATGTGCTATCCTTTCCATTAGCCTTAACGCTTTCAAAATGATTTGGGAAGAGCTTAAGAGAAGAGTGAAAAAAATGAAATGATTATTGAAATTATTATGATAGAACTGACAATGGATAATGATGCATTGACTGTGCTAATGCATCATATATGCCAGAATAAAAGGTTAATTCATATATCCCGACATATTTCATATATCCATATATATATATGCAAATTCTTATTTCTGAAACTGAAAGTCTTTAGGAAACACAATCTCAAACCCAATATTATAGATACCTCGAAAGGATAAAGTTTGATTTAACAAAGGTTTGTATGTGACATTAATTCTACATTTGTAAGCATGTGTCCGACTTATATAATATGTTGTCTTGAAGTCAAGTATACCTATGTGAGTGATTATTACCTTTTGCCTTCAATTGCAGTTCCAATACCAGTATATAAAGGAAATTATATAAACTAGTAGATACATAATGACCCCCGAGATGTTCTTCCAATTGAAGCTGTTGCAACTGGCAGATAAGCAATATTATTTAGCAACAACTGACAGTAATATACTTGCCTACCAAGTTCATCCCAAAAGTGATATAACCTCTTACCTTTTTAACATGACAGATATACCTGTTATCTTGAGCAAAGTTCGGAGACGTCAGATGCAATGTTTGTCAACTTTAGCCATAGGTGAGATTCACTTTCACCCTGCTTCTAACTTTGAATAGTATGATAATAAATCATGAAAATGGTTCACACAGTTACATATTAGTAAATGGCATTAAAAATGCACCATTTTGTCTGTAAGTTGTTGGTACTATCCAGCTCTTTGAATCCAAAACTCAAAAACAAAAGTATTGTCTTTTAAATTCTGACTATAAAGTTTGTTGCCAGCAAGCTCCAACTAGCTTTGTACATAATTGTAGTGGTCCAAATTTTCAAAAAACAGTACCCCAATTTAACAGGTACTGTAAATGGTACTGAACAAGTAATTATTTCTATGTTCAATTTGTTTATTGGGTTTTCATGAAAAATAGATGTTTCTAAAAATTTCAGCATAAAAAAACAGAAAGCAGTTTCTCCTCAACTTCCTTTCCCTCTAATTCTGTGTAAAAAGCACTTAATAGATGACTAATTTAAGTTTAATTTAACAGACAGAGCTAGAAATGACAATACATTACACATTTTCAAAAAATGTTTTTTTTTTCCTGTTGTGGTCCAGTTTGTTACATTTCAGACAACACAGAAACAACTCAGAAAAGGTTTAAAGTAATTACAAATCCTATTCAAAACAAGAGTTTAGCTTACTTTTTCAAACTGAAATGTTTAATTTAGCTTTGACTGGAAAGTAATGTTTAACCTGTTACAAAGGAAGTGTCAAAAGCCAGTTCATTTTTAGGTACAGAATCTTCAAGTGTTGGTAATGTGACTAAAACCTTTTTTACAATGGTAAAAAAAGCCTAGCTTTCAACCTTTTAGGTGTGTGAATATATTGCATAGATATGCCAACTATGAGAACCTGGGTGAATATTCAAAACAACCTGTGATTACTTTAGCCGTTCTTCTAAATAAACCTCAAACAAAAAAGTTTCCATTTGATGAAATTAGTGATTTTCACAGCAGAGTTTAAGACCATTCAATTTTCCTAGCAATTGTGGTAGCTAGTGTGTCACCATAAGTGTAACAACGCACCCTTGTGGAATAAGGTGCCGTTTCATGGTTATGAGCCTTTATGTGGCATCCCATCATGGGCCATGCAAGGTTGATATTCAATTTAAACTCAACAACATGTTCCTTCACAACCTTTTGAGTAACTGTAAAAGTTGTTTGGTGGTTGTTCTTTCAGGCACTCCATGAAAAAAAAATATCCCCCTCCCATTGATCCTGTACTTCATACTGTACTTGTATATGAAAGCAGATCTGCAACTACAGTGTTATCAGTCACCTCTTGCAACTACAATGCAGAATAGCTACTGTTCATTGTATGCTTCACAAAGGTGTCTTTAACATAAACAGCCATATCTTGAATTCTGTTTGTAAGATGAACATCAATCTAACTACTTTGATTTTCTTCTCTCCACACTATATAAATGCAAGTTCTTTAGGGTAGAAGGCTTTTTCCACTAAAAATGTCAAGATATTTATCTTTAAAAGATTTGCCTCCACATTACAGCAGAAAGCTGTAGGTTTCATTAGTTATCATTATAGTTAACAGCACTGCATAGCACAAAGCGCATTGTAACCACAGTTTATCTTGGTCATCAGTCTACGCAAAGCTTAAATCATTGCACCTTGAGTCATATTGTACCTGGAGTCTTACTTGTTTCAGCTTACTATTATTACAATTTTAATCAACACTATTTTTTTATAAACTTGGGTCTGCCATTAAAAATGTATTTTATAGATGTTCTGTAATCGCATGGTTGAATCTGAACCTTTGACTGATCTCATTGTTACTTGATTTTTTTGTTTTCTCTTTTCAAATATTGTGTTTCAACCACTTCTACAAACTTACTGGACTATAAACTGTTATATTTTGTGAAAAAGCACTGGATTCTACTGTACCCAGTATTTTCCATATCAAAATCATGACCAATAAATAAGCACAAATGTGGAATTTCTCCTTGACATACAGTAGTTGTCAAAATGGCCACAGTCTTCATCATCAGAAAAAAAAAGGAAATTCCGGATGGAGTAAAGATCATATCAAACTGAGAGTGTCTGCATTAGATGAGTCATTAACCTTTCGTGAAGTACTGCAACATCAAATGGGTGTTAACATACTTTCCTAGTTAATCAATGAGTTAACTATTCTTCTATACATGAGCGTTTTGATTTACCCTTGTCGTTTGTGTTTACTTTGAGTTTTGAGGAGTTGTACATTAGACTGTAAAATTATCAGTATTGACACAAATCATAATTTTTTAATGTTTCACTAATTCTTAAACCAAAACTAGGACTCTAACACTCTGACACGTCCTACAGTCCCCCTCATCAATCTTTATTATGTACATCTGAACACTTACATGGTCCATGAGTTCTTTGACCATGCCATTCCACTGTCCAGTTGTTTCCTCCTGAGCTCCATATTTTCCGTCCTCCACCAGCTTGATCTCATATGTGAATCCCAGGATATTGGCCAGCTCCTTGAGAAGGTCAATGCAGTATCCTTCAAACCGATCATTCCCATGGAGTGGTTTATCAGACTTCTTAAACATCACATATGGCTCCTCCTGTAGAAATGGATAATAGCATAAGGTCAATTGCACTTGAAAAATGAAAATTGCATTTCGGAGATAGCACCTAACAAGAAGATTTTTATCAAATTTGTCTCAGTAACAAAAAGGTTTTGATGCCTAAAGGTAAATCCTATTGACTTTTCTAGCAGAGAAAATGAACCTGACCTGTTGGTTTCCCAGTTAACTGCATGCCTTTAAGAAAGTAAACTTTAATCTTCCCCCTTTTTTTACTAGCTTGTATTTTTTATTTATTTTACATAGTGACAAAGTTCACAAATACTCTTACATTGTGTAGTATTTACAACTTGGTTTATAATGGATATGTTTTTATTTTTCCTCCCTGTTTTTCTGTTTTCCTCCCTCTCAGAGTAACTCATATATATTGTACACATAGATTGGCAATCTATTGAAAATTTTCCTTCTAAAAATATTCCTCTTTGTCAACGATCAACTACACATGCTCTGGGCAGAGGTATTATCATCTACATGTTGCAACACAATCCCAACAAGTTCCCAGAGAACTGCTTGCCTTTAAACTCTAATGGTGCTGAGATCAGGGGACTGGAAAAGTCAGCACATTAATTTCACATCATTGCTATTCTTTCTGATTTAAGCTGGCGGAAGAACAGGACACATAAAGTAAGGGCCTATTATCATTCTGTTTCCTAGCATCATGCAATACATCCAGGAATGATGTTTGTAGTTAAAGGGCGTATTTTTAACATTTTTAACAGCCTCAACGTACTTCCAGACTAAACCTAATTACCTGAAAGGACAACAGTTTGCAATTGATGTGTAGGCATTGCCAATTACATGGCTAAGATTAAGAGGAGATTGAAAAGAAAAATCCAGCAAGCATACATTTGCTCTGCAAGATGATAATGATTCAGTAGAAACAGAAACAATAAAAACAGCTGAAGGTGTGTAGCCTTGAAGGTGTTTAACTGTGATTACAAGCAAGAGGATATTATCTTTAAACTCAGACGTTGGTCATGTAAACACATTGAGGTTTTCACCAAATGATCAAAATATGAGTTTATACTGTATAATATACTGTATTTTGCAGAAAATTATTTAAATAATGAAAGCAGTATATATCAATCTCAGAAATTTTAAAGTACTTTTCACACATTTTTCTTAAAAACGAATAACTGATCTATAGAATTGTTATATTATTGTTATATGTGCTGCTTTTTAGAAAAAAGTACATTTCTTTTTAGAAACGATGACAAAACATGATGTTGTGGATTTATAGGAGCTACAGTATGTTACTATGGTAACAGAACTGAATCAAACATTTAACCCAGGAAAGAGCAAAATTTTAAACACAGAACTATTCTATCAGGAAAACTCCCAAATGTCAGCCACTGGGGATCAGAGTTTGAGTATTTATTCAAGACATTGCATTTTCAATTTTAAATACAATATATTACTGTATCTATTTTAAAATGTCTACATAGATCATTTTCATAGTTACCATTACACTATAAATATGAAAAGACTAGGTTTTCAATAACAGAAATACCTGAACTCATATTACTATATAAATTTGTCTACAGTCACAACTTACATTGTCTGCATTTTTCAACGATTACAAGTATAATTTTTATATTTATTTGTATAATTCAAATATTAAATCATTTTATTTAAAAAAACACTACCATTCACTGAAATAATTTAAGAGAAAACTTCGGCATTCTACAATATATGCAAAACTCACAGAATAGAGATGTTTAGAAAATAAAAAGTAGAACAAACACAGAGCAAAAGAAAACTTCACAACATTTAAAAAAGTGAAACATAAATGCCACAAAATTAGTGTGGCAAAACACAAGTTAGATAATTCATTATTTCATATAATTGAACATGTAAAATATTAAGCATTCTGATAGCTAGGGGTACAATCTAAAAATCTATTACTATTGATCAGATATCCTTATAGACCATAAATATCAGAAAATTCAATAATTCATGCAGTACCTAGTGAAATACAAATAATTATATAGAAAATATATTTAAGGAATATAAGCATATGTAAGCATATATAAGCATAGTGAAATAAAAATAATTTATTTCACTCACATTATGATACATTATTTGTTACATTCCAACACAAACAAAATAATAACAATTATCAGCTTGATTTTAGTACAGGTATGTGCTGTTCTGGTACTGAAAACATAAAGCTGTTTCTGTCAGTTTCTGGAGTTTTCATTAATCATACCATCAATTTTCCATCTCGCATTTCAAGTAAACTTTGCTCCTACTTGTAAGGAATACGATATGTATACTGCATACTATGTATACTCTAGGTTAAGATTGGTTTGAAAAGCAAACTTCATGTTCATCAAGAAAGGTACAATAAGTGGACTTAGTTATTAGTTTTAAAGGGAAAAGTGTCATTCCTTAGACATTCATGTTGTGTGCATCTGGAGAAACAAAAGAAAAATCAGGTACTGGTATAAAGTATACAGTATGATTGAATACAGCAGAGTGTAGCCCCATATGATGTGGTACTGTATATAAAATACAGATGCAGCCATACAAAATGCGCAGTAAAACCCCGTACTGTACGAAATTATCTGCAGAATCGTGCGGAATACCGCAATATGTGATTGCCTGGCCAAAATGACTTAAAGGTGGCACTTGTGAAGCAGTGGTTGTTAGTGAAACGATTGCTTCATTTAATCTCTTTACTGTGCATGTTTAAATCCACTTAATATTGAATATTAGTATGGAATTTTACAACTAAAGGGAAATTTTGTTAGCTGAGCATAAAAAAGAAGAGGAGCATAACGAGTCTGAAGGTCATAAATGATATTAATTTAAGAACATAAACATATTATTTAAACTGTATATGGCTGGTATTGGTAGTTTAAATTAAAAAATACACACCAGTATTCCACTTTCTTCAGAAACATTTTAAGCATCAAAGTCTTTCATTCGATTACATACTGTGGTTATTATGGAAACGTTTTTACGTGCTCCTTGACTGACTGTACGTGCTCCTTGACTGTATTAAGTTTATATACGCCATAAAAAGTTATAATGTTTTAAACTTTTCTGTGAATAGTAGCTCCTGTTATTGCAGTAAAAATCGCATACTTTTTAGAATTTGATTAATAGGGAATATAATATGGAATCGCGAATCTAAAGAAATTAATAATGATATAATTATATTCATATAGCTAAAATTATTACAGTAGTACAAAGTACACTTTCTTTGTAAACATCCGCATCAATTTGACTCATTCACCCGTGATTACTTGGAAACTTTTTGCCTGGCCTTTCGAACTTTAGTTTAAGTTGTCAAGCGGTGCATTGGTGTAATGGCTTTGATGTGTGACTCGCATGCATGAGTTTTCCTTTAACATATAAACATTTCTTTGAAAAACTAAAATAGTAAATATTATGGACACCATATTGAATTTTTTGGTATTTCTAAATATCACATGTTCAAAGTTAAGTAATTTATTAATAACAACTAATAATTTCAAACTGCATTTTAAAATTGTATTTTGTTCGGGTTGATTTGTCACTGTTTTCACAACCTGTTAACTATCCAGCCATTGCAAAGGGTGCAACTGCAACAGCCACAAACAGAAAAAAAAAACTTTTTTTTTCCTGACAAATTGGCACGTTTCACTTACTTTCATAACAATCATGATTTTCTCATCCAAACAAAGGTTAGATTTTTTTTTATTTCAAAACCGTGATCTTGACATGCAGGTGTGAAGTAGAGTTAACAGCTTCAGATTTGAAAGATATTATTATTAATAATATCTTCCGTATCGCATTAACATTTGAATGTTCTTACAAGTTTAAAATGAGGCGATATACAACGTGTCTCCTCTATAACTTAAGTTTACAGAGAAATTCCACCAGAGCCACAAAACATTGTCCAATAATACTCTTCTTGTATTTTATATATCTTCTAATTTCCAGGGAGTAACCCTGTTACAAAAGTGAACAGCACATCGGTTATTGAGTATGATTAAACAGTATATATGATGTCTGGTGGAGTTTCACCATTCTCTTTTCTGTAATCTGTAGAGACACAACTCATCAGTGTTTGGTACCAAAAAAAGGGGGGGTTTCATGGATTTCCTTCTTTGAACTAAACTTCGCTCCAGTAAATAATGTACAGTTTATCACCTCTTGCAATGCTTCTTGCTTAGCAGGGTTTGCATGATAAGCAAATTGTTTTACTTGCATAGTTAAGCGCTTTGGGGCAACCTTATTGTGAAAAGCGCTATATAAAAAAAAATTGAATTGAATTGTTTAATGGGGATTATATTACCCACATCTATATCACTGTATGACACAGGTTTGAGTTGGAGTGTCTGTTAATCAAACTGCATTTCAACTAAATGACGGGAATATAGAGTCAAATCTGTCAGAATCTCTGAGTTTCATAAACAAGAGCTTATTCTTGTTCGCATAACAAGAACATTGGCATCTAGACAATGTACATTAGTAAACAACAGAGAGAGTGACTTGCTCAATTGAAGGTATACCCATCTGTTTTCACTGTTATGGTGCGTTTCCAACATATACTGTAGATAAGCTGCTCTCTGGTCACTGGCAATTATAAAAATAATCCTTCAACCCTTAAACCCAATTCCCCAAAGAAATCCTTAATCACAAAACCATCACTTAATTTATCCAGATACACAAATTCACGCCGGAGCCAACATCAAGCTATTATAGTGGATTATTTTTATATATTCATTATATAAGAAACAAACCGAAAGTAATGCTCTGATCGCGCTTTGAACCTTTCGGTGCAGCACGCTACATTACATTACCACTACAAGGACAATAAAAGTTTTTTTTTTTAATGAAACACGTCAAAATGTTTCCGAAATGTCCACTTCTGATATTTTAGCTGCTTAGTTACACGATTCCATATTAACTTTCAAGTGGTATTAAATAAGTACAACTTTTTTTACAATAACATCAAGTGGTGTTCTTACTACATATTCTTAGAAAAG